TACTCTCTTCTCCCCCCTCTTTTTAAACGCCGACATCTCCCTAACAGAATGTGACAGACATTCATGGGTACAACATCACATCACACCTGATCATGCTACTGATCCTCAATAGAAAACTCTACAATGCATCTCCTGTCAATGTTAATCATGTTTCTTTCTCCAACTAAGTCAGAGAATATGACTGAGAATGTCTCTGAGTAGTGAGAATCAACTTGTCCTTGAATATATTGCATTTTGTATTAATAAGAGCAAAAATTATGCATGTATGCACCTATCATGCACAAAAGTGCGACATATTATTTATAAGTTCAGAGGAAAGAACGCTATGATCGTCTACATGTGACAAAATAAAAGAACCATGTAGAGCTAAATGGGCACTAGCATATGCCACTCTATTACATTCTCCAGGCGTGTGTAAAGAAGCACTTGTTTGAACTTCAAAAGATGCAAAATCAGGAGCAAGTTGTGGTTGGAGTTGCCAAACATCTCTCTTCGTGAAGGAATTCAAAAGTTGCATAATATTGGCATTGTCCTCCCCAACATTAAGGCCTTTAAGTTCGAACATCCATGGTTGATGATGGCCGAAAATTTATTGTGAAGTAAGTCGGTCAATCACACAAGTGTACGTGTCGAGTAATGATGCGGTTAAAGAATACCACGAGAATAGTGTCAAAATATTTATAAGAGGCGAAAGTCTAGTTTATTGAACCGCTAAGTCTAGCTTGAAATGCGCAAAATCAGGAGATGAATCTACAGTCCCAAAAAAATAGTAGATAGAATTAGCAGGAAAATGTGTTGAGTTTTTTAGATATGCAAGATTCATACTCTTATGACATAGTTCGGGTGGTTTTTTATAGTTTTTCTATGGGTCCCACAGTATAATTGACAACCGAGAAAGAATGTTCTCCTTATGCTTATGCCTAGGTCAAAAGAAGATTGGAACCCTTGAAGTTAAGTTCCCTTAATCCCCATGGCATTCCATAGGATTTTTCTGAGCCCCCCGGATAGGTAGTAAAATCCTATTAGAATATGTCTATTCGTACCAGGATTTTGTGGTTAACCTACTCGTTCCACTATACAACAGACAAAAATTAGTTCATGAGGGATTTTAACTTTCTTATCGTATCCAATACAACAACAACAACAACAACAAAGCCTTAA